TGGACCAATTCAGTAATCTTTTTAATACATTTTGTATTCCTGGTTGCAAATTGATTTTGTTTCTTTTGTGTTTGTTCAATTTTATATTAGAAACTCCAAAAAAATCACTTTGGTCTGGTTGTTATATCAAAAAGTAGGACGGTGTAACAGAAAGAAGTTGGAAATACGTTGTTATGCTCGAAATAGGTAGAAGTTAGAATTTCTCATCCCTACTCTTTGGTAAACCAAAGGATTGATATGCCAGGTTAACTTATTTCGGTTGGTTTAAGTTTTGGTTCAACGAATTGTCAACTTCGATTATTTGTTTAGCTTATCCAAAGTTTAGTTTCAGTTTAGTAAACTCGCATTAAGAACAAATGAATTGATAACTAAATTAAAAAATAAAAAAAAAACCTTGGAATAGAGTAATAGGTGTGAGACTTAACGATCTTTTTTTTTTTTTTAAGATCAAAATGAGCAAACTTTACTCGTCTCAAAACAAGTTCGACGGTTTAAAATTAAAGTGTTGACATTTTTTCAATATAAAAATTATGTATGTCTCACACTATAATTTTATATTTTAGACTTTTAGTTATTAAAATAATGCATTTTGCAATTAGCTTATTACTTGTTTGTTCCATTTGATTCAACAATAGCTATTTGGCTTTCTTTGATGTACAACAGTTTAAGCATGGATGGATTGATTTGGTTAAGAATCCTAATATATTTCTCTATACAAAGTGATTTTGTTATCAGTTCAATTTATTTAATAATATTTGATTTGATTGTAAAAAAATGATATACCTGCACGGATAAAGTGACTCAATAAATCAATTTGGGAATGGCCTTATCAGTACATGCATAAAATAAGGGAGCAAATAAAATGCATTTAAAAGTAAGATTTTTATGCATTATTAATTTTATCTTTCATGTATCCTCTAAATAGATGAAGGACATCATAGTATTTCACATAGGAAAGGAGCACAGAAAACGACACATGGCAATTGGTGTCCTCTTTTAATAGAGTACTAAGTGTGAGACCCGTGTAATATATGCTTTTTTTTAAAGTTAATATATTTTGTTAAGCATTACATGTTTAATAATTTACTAAACTGAATTTGGAAATAATATCAATATTAGCTCTGAATGAACCAATTTTTGCAAGGTTTTTGTAAATTATCGTGAATTCAAAAGAGATGGACCGAAAATTAAGTTTTTCAATTAGGAAAGTTGATTTAAATTTAAATTGAATTTAATACATTAATTGACAAATTACCTAAAAATTTATGGAGACATTTAAGTTTCCTTATTTTCTTTATTATATTTTTAGATTAGATTTTTTATAGTTTAATAAAAAGCCAAAAAACCAAATTTTGCCAAGTGGATTTAAATAAAATTGAAAATTTTTTAAAAATGTCATGTGGCATATTGAATTAGGTGATGACATGTGACAAATTTGCTTCGGAATGTCACACTCCAAAATGTTCTTCAAAATTCGGATTTGTTTTTATTTATTATTATTATTATTATTTTTTTCAACTTGTATTTTCAAAAAAAAAAAAACTCTATATTTATATATGAAATGTTCATTTCGAAGTGGAATATCAAAATTTTCAATCAAATGTCCGGTTTTATGCCATAAAATATCGTATATATAGTTCTCATTTACTATGTTTGGTTATTTTTTGTTATATTTTAGAAAAAAATGTTTTTTTTTAAATCATGGATTGTTCTTGAAATTTCAGAAAAAATTTTCGAACTCTGAAATTTTAGTCCGAAACCTAGAGTGTCAGTCTAAAATCCAAAATTGCAATTAGAAATGTATTTTTTTGTTAGATAAAGTGTTTTTGTTTAATCCATAATGCCCTATCTGTAATTAATGGTTATTTTGTCAAAAAAAATTACCTTTTTTATTTAAATATACATTATAATATTATATTGTTAGTTTAATAAATTTCCTTTATTTCAAACATAAATCCATGTGTTTATCTTAAAGTATAAAAAAGTTATATATTCTGATTCTTTTATCTGAGAATATCTTTTGTACATGTTGTCAGATAAAGGGATGAAAATATGTAAATTTGAAATAACCATAAGAATGTTGATTTGATTTGTTGATCCTAGCTTCACCGAAATTTCGGGTTAGTCATGGGGCTCCACCCATGGAAATTATTAGATGCAAAATAGTTTTGGATAAATTATACTATAAAATGGGTAAGCAAGTCCAAGTCATATATGCTTCATTTTATTTATTATACTCATTAAGGGTAACGTTTAGGCATCCATTGAGGCGAGGGACATTTTTTTATGTTCCCTTTAAAGGTTATGACAATGAATTACAAAGGTACTAAACTCACCATATTATATATTGCAGTCTGCAGATTCATCTTTGAATATAGTTAATAGACTTGAAGTTCTAAAATATTGAGATTATTATATAATTTGATTATTACTGTTATTTTTTTTCTCTTTAATCGGCATTTTTTTTTGTTATATCATCTTTTTCCTTTATAATTTGCATTTATTATATTGTGTGCGATAGTATGAGACTCACTATATATATTTCCACTGATTTATGGAGTCATATATATTGATGCTGAGCTACGTACAAATATCATATGTGTAATGTGTACGAATCAACTTTTTAGTTTTTGTCGAATATAATTTTGTTATATTTATAAAAAGCACTGACAATTTTTATAAACTAATATTGGAATGATTAAATATCTTTGAGTTAATTGATGTGAATACTATGAAAATGAATAGATGCTACTTGTGACAAGAGAGTATATATAACCATCCTGAAATTGATGAGAAAAGCAGCAGTATGAAAAGCAAGCATGCTACATGACATCGAAAGTTAATTAACTTATTTAAAAAGGTTGAATAACTTGTGGACTAACTTTTTTATTATATTATATGTATTCAAATTCAAATAACCATTTCTCAAATTATGGGTTGTACGCTCGACACACGCGATGCATGATAAATGCCGTGGGAGACAATTAGCGGAATACCAAACTAAACAACCACTCAACCTTCATCATGTGTGTACCAATTCTACAATTTTTTCAATAATAAAATATTTTCCACCAGCTCTTCATACGTACGAAAAGTACAATTTTATTAATAGAAAAATATTTCCCCAACTTTTGTTTTAATAATGCAATGTTTAATTTGATGCTATTGTAAAAAAGATTGACTTGTTATTTGAATATTTGAAATATTTGCTTAATCGTTAAGACACATGACATGATTCCTAGTCAATGTTACCAGTAATATAGGCACGGCAAAACTGAGGTCCAAAATTTCAAGATTACACAAAATAAGTTTTTTTCCAGGATTACACAAAATAACTCAATTTTTTAAGATTATACAAAAAAAAGGATTATTATAAATATTATTTGCTATTTAGAATAACCATCACAACTATTTAACAATACTCCATTGAATAATACATAGCTCAAGGTGACTATATTTTCAACTTCTATCGCAAAATAACCATTAACTTTTCTAAAAACACACAAGAATTAGAGATACCTTTTCTCTTTTACTTTTTTTTTTTCTAAAAGCGATATCGCAAGATACTCACGAGATGCATTAATTTGCAAAACTAATTTATGACATATCGAGTAAATAACCATATTTTTCGGGGCAAACGGTTTGAGAAGCTAATTTATGGGGTGGATGGTCCATGTGCCATGTAATCGTCGATTGTACTGCAGTTGTTACATTGGTTTCCTAGTATGTCCAGGGCCGGTCCAAAGATACAGTGAGCCCAGGTTGAAAAAAGAATGTCTCATATGTCATGTAGTCCCAATGTTCTTTTATATAAGACATGATCCTCAATGTTGACTATGAGAGGAGATCATCCATGGTTTTGATGCTTTTGCAATCTTTCATAATGGATAGATACCCAATTACGATTTTTACGAGTTCATCTACTGAGTTGAACGACTCTCACATATTTGTTGTCTCTAAAAAAGCTCTTCAAGGATATTCCACGTCACCATAGTAGTGACTCTTTTCTTCGTACACATTTGAATGAGTGATTTTAATACCGCGATGTAAATATATAGATTGATAATTAAATGAATTTATTCGACACAAGGTCATCAAGTTTGCGGAGTTTATCAAGATTGAGGATAATATAGATGAAAGATTTGATGTTTGTGATTTTGTATGCCTTTTGTTCTATGAGATTATTCACCACAAGCCATGATGGACTTTCCTTTTGATGAAAACCGAATTCTTTAATACCTACCCTCACATACACAAGAAAAATCCATCGCAAACGTCAAGTCAATGTTGCCTTCAAATCGTAGCTTTATTTACTCATTTATTGTAAAATGATATGTCATTGAAATATTATCTTTATTTCTTATATATCAGCACATACATGATATAAACAGTTCAAAAAAATCAACTTAAGTTCACACAAACTTCTTAGAGCATCTATAATAGAAGTTTTTTCAAAGCCTTTTCACTATGAACAAAATTCCCCCTTATGTTGAGAGTTTTTTTTTACTAAAATCTTTTTAAAGAAGCTTGTTAATTAACAAATTCTTCTATAAAAGTTTTTCAATTAAAATGATGGGTCTCATATCTATTCGACTAATTACAAGTCACCAATTTATACAAAAAAAATATTAGAATATTAATATACAGTTATAAACATATTTAAGTAGTCATATAAAAAAGTAAACGAAAAAGCTCATTATATAATTATATGTATTAGTTAAGCCTTTTAGATTGATAATGTGACAATTATATGACATCAAAAACTATTAGTTAAAGTGTTAAACCTTTTGGATCAATAATAAGACATCAAAACACTTTGTAAAAAAACTATTTATAAACTAATAACTTCGATGTTGACTTTTTTTTTTTAGATTCTCTTTTTTATTTGAACGAGCACACACCCGAAACTTGCCATTAATCACTTCACTCCAATGAAAAAATAAAATAAAAAAGGAGAAGCTTCGGTGACGTCTAAACTCACTATTCCCTAGACTGGCCTTGTTCTCTTGTATTGTTATATATATACCTTCAATCGAGCTTCTTCAATGTCAATGGAGTATCAATGTCTCTGAAAGCCCTAAATTAAATCGCCATATCTTGTTTTTCTTGTTTTTTTGTTGATGCTGCATGCCGTTGTGGTTTCTCAATTTGTATTTATACGCGCATATCCCAACAGCATCTCATCAATTCAGAATATATATACCAGTACCTAGCTTTTAGCTACAGCTTTATAGATCGAGATTTTGATTCTGATTTTGTCTGATCGATCGATGGAGGAGAATTCCGATCAGACTAGCGATTGGAAGATGAATTTCACAGAGCAACGATCACCTTCGGCCGTTGATGCAAATGATTCTCGTTCCTGGAGACTCGACATCAATCAATTCCGGCTGCCGGAAACCTCCGCTGCTGATAATCAATCTTCAACTCTCAGCCGCCTGCTTCTCCCTACTCTAAGTAATTGCATCGACGCTATTATATGTTAAATTCTTAATTCATTATCAGTGCACACATTTTTGAAGATGTATGATTTTTGATGCATTTTACTCATTGAAGATCATAATGTATTTGTTTATTCTCGCAGGAAGGAAGAGAAGAGTAAAAGCATATTACAAGAAGCAAGAAAGCCTCTGTGAAGGATTCAATGAAATGGAAACAATCACAAAATCAGGTTCTTTACCCGGAGCCCTAACCGAGGTTAGTATAGTACTAAAGCTTCTTTTCCCGCCAAATATTAAACATTACGCGATTTTCACTCTGTTTTGTTTTCAGGATGAAATGACGAATCTGGCTAAAAGTGAGAGAATGGCGATCTATGTATCCAACGTAGCTAACTTGATTCTTTTCATTGCTAAACTCTACGCCTCCATTCAAAGCAGATCGTTAGCTGTTATCGCATCAACTCTAGATTCGTTTCTCGATCTCTTATCTGGATTTATTCTATGGTTCACATCAAACGCCATGAGAAACCCTAATCGTTATCGCTATCCAATTGGGAAGAATCGGATGCAACCTGTTGTAAGCTCTCCTCTTACCTTCAATCTAAAATCTAAATACACACAAACGTTCTCAGCAAATAAATTTGATTCACAGGGCATTATCGTTTTCGCATCAGTAATGGCAACTCTTGGCTTCCAAATACTTCTAGAATCTGCGAGAGAAATCATTGCCGAGGTATTTGCCTTAAATTCTTCTTTTATTGGAGTGTTGTTGAGAATTTTAATCGATCCAAATTGATTCATTGGCAAAATGGCATTGTTTGCAGACTCATCCTAGCAAGAACCATGATAACGAAGAATGGGTGATTGGAATCATGGTTTCTGTGACAATCGTGAAATTTATGCTGATGATGTATTGTCGAAGATTTGAAAACGCAATAGTGAGAGCATATGCTCAAGATCATTTCTTCGATGTCATCACTAATTCCATTGGATTAGCAGCAACTGTGTTAGCCGTACGTTACTATTGGTGGATTGACCCTGTTGGCGCTATAATTGTGAGTACACAGCCACTGCCCATCTATTTTAGAGTAATTACATTCTTGTCCTTGAGTATAGCTGGTTTTTTCAATATTGGTCTCAAAAAGTTTGTCTTTTACTAGAAGTTTTTGTAATGTTTTTGGTCTCTTGTCCCTAAATGTAGACGATTCATTTTACTTGAAACATGGACAAAAAAACATAACATTAAGTCGAATAATGATCACAATTGTAAGAGAAAACATTTTGGGACAAAATTAAAGAAATCAACCATATAACTACATTCAAAACATATAATTTACTCTAAATTTTAATTACAATTTTTCTTTTGAACTTGTAGATAGCATTGTACACGATAAATACATGGACAAAGACTGTGATAGAGAACGTACGGTCTTTAATTGGGAGAACAGCTCCACCGGAATTCTTATCAAAATTGATATATTTGGTATGGAACCACCATGAAGAAATAAAACACATTGATACAGTTAGAGCCTACACATTCGGGGGTTATTACTTTGTGGAGGTAGACATAGTGTTGCCACAAGATATGATTCTTATCGAGGCACATAATATTGGTGAAATGTTACAAGAAAAACTAGAGCAATTGGCGGAAGTTGAACGAGCTTTTGTTCATATCGATTTTGAATTCACTCACACACCTGAACATAAGGGAAAGGTTTGAATATTTTTTTTTTTTGTTTTTGTAGTTGCAACAATAACAATAACAAAAACCCAGTTCCCTTAAGGGAGAATCAGATAAGGGAAGGTAAAATGTAGGCATGAAACTGCTTCCATAGAAGACCTCTAACATAAAGAGGAAAACTTTTGTTTTTTATAGTTACATTTTTATATATAAAAAATATGTTTGATATAGTTCATAGAAGTCTATGAGTATATGTAAAAATAGTGGAAGTTTCAATTGTACTGTCTTTATGTTTCTTGTATTTGATACAATATTATTTTATATTTAATTATATAAGTTATCTATGTGTAATTGATTTGATATATTTTAATATAATGTGCAAATGTTAGTCTTTTACAATCATTTCTCGTGAGCTTAGTGCTTGAGTGGAATTCCATATAGGATGTTTAAGATTCAAACCATGATATACTTAAAATATTGTTAGTGTTTTATGATAGACTTTTCATGTGGGTCTTAGGATGAGATGATCTGGGCCGTTCAAATGATGTGGTATACGATGATGTTTAACTCTCAAATTTCATTAATCATATAGTACCGAATACTAACTATGCATACTTCAATTTAATTATAAATAAACAAGTCTAATTGAGTTTTTTTTTATATATTTCTAATATTAAACATTGGTAAAATAAAAGTTTATTACTAAAAAGTCATCCTATCAAAGCTATTACAAAATCATTTTGTTTGTTACATATAGGTTAAATATCATATCCAAATTAGCTTCTATACCAATATTAACATTAATATAAGCACTTGTTAGTTAAATTATCAATACTTAATCTATAAGTAGTTATGTATAATCTAAACTAAAGATATAATAATTATCAAGTACTGTACTGTGGCATTCACTATATAAGTAGTTATGTATAATCTAAACTCACTTGATAAATTTATATAAAAATATAATCTAATCATCTCTAATAAATGAAAGTTTTTTTTGCCACTTGTCACACTCTCATTCAATTTGTCAAATGTCATTTTGTAGTTGTTTTGAATTAATTCTTTTTCCACATGTAATTTTATGAGTTTTTCTATTTTATTAAATTTCACATAATATTTAAATATAATAATTACAATAAATTAGTTATAAATGGATATCAATTTCATTAATGAACATATCTTTTAATTTCAAAATTTCCAAAATTAAAGTTCATTAATTTGTTTTATTTATTTAAATTTAAAATATAAAAAATATTTCCATTATAATAATTCATTATTTTCTTATAAATTCAAAGTTCTTAAATATTTTGACATTTATATTTAATTTTTTTTAAATTAACTCATGTAATACATAGGTCTCACAACTAGTATACTAATATAATAACATTCAAAATCCAAATTGAATCATGCAATTGCATGGTTGAAAGAATTCTGTAGAAATTGTGGCATCGAGTACCTTCCAACATAACTTGAAAGCCTAAATAAAATTAGGTTGGCATTATAATATTATTAAATTTATTATTATACTTTTCATATTAATCATTAGAAAAACATATTCAAGTCGACCCGTTTCGATTCGACCCATAAAACAAAATTCAGAAAAATCCCGGAAACGATCACAATTATTCACAACCACCAGACAGACACACCCACGTGTCTCCATTTACGTGACGAAGATGATGAACACACACCCACAACACACATTACACACACAACACATTGTTGAACAACAATCTGCAACCCCATGTTCGTTTTACTGGATTAGGTTAACCTAATTTCTTCTCCTGCGATCATAAAGCTATGGCTTTCACAGTAATCCCCAATCTATCTCCTCCAACTTTCACTCGTCTCCATCTTCATCAATCCTCACAGAAACCTCCATCTTCATCTTCATCGCATTCCGCAACTCACCACAACCATAACGGTGTCAGTGTACAATCCTCCGTCGAATCGCCGCCGGTTCGTGTCAGGGTTACTCCACCGAGCGATCCTCGACAAGATTTCTACGTTAATCTCGGCTTAGCTGTTCGAACTCTCCGCCATGACTTGCCTCTCCTCTTCTCTACAGATCTCAATTACGAAATCTACAGGTACGAATATTTACTCCTCCATTGCAGACTTGAATTTCTTTCGAATTTACTTTTGCTCCAATTGTTGTCGATTTTGGAATTTTACAGAGACGATATCACCTTCGTTGATCCTCTGAACAAGTTCACCGGAATCGAAAACTACAAGCTCATCTTCCGTGCATTACGTTTTCACGGCCGTATCCTATTCAAAGACATCTCCTTGGAGATTTTTAGGGTTTGGCAGCCATCGGAGAACCTAATTTTGATCCGATGGAACCTCAAAGGAACCCCTCGTGTCCCATGGGAAGCTAAAGGCGAGTTCCAAGGTACTTCCCGTTACAAACTGGATCGAAATGGCAAAATCTACGAGCATAAAGTCGATAATCTGGCTTTCAATTTCCCTAAACAGCTAAAACCAGCTACATCTGTTCTTGATTTTGTCTCTGTTTGTCCTCCTGCTACACCTAACCCTACATTCTCATGGGCTACTACTACCCTAGATTCTACCTATTCATCTTCTTCATGGCTAGACTTCTATCGTGCAGTTAAGAACACATTGGATCCTAGCTATACCTATGATTATGATTATTCCGGTTTGCTAGATTACCAGCTAGTAGCCACTTGTTTATAGTCAGTGTGTTCATTTATTGTTATGTATACACATACTCTACATTATACGATATAACAACACTACACAAATAGATAGAGTTGATTGTGGATCATTTGATTTACGATATAAAAATTTGTATGCAAAATGCATTCAATTCTTCTATTACAGGATGAGTTAAACTACAATACATTCAAAAAAATTCACTTTTTTTTTTGTGAAGAAGATATATGACTACAGACCATAATATGTGAAAAAAAACAATGGTCTCTGATGTGAGATCCAACTAAGATATTGGTTCTAAAATCAAGAAGATGGAAGCCTGTTGAGAGGTCTGATACTTGCAACTTTGAAGTTATGATCGCTCATGTATTTGTCAAATGTAACTTTCAGCACGGCTTTTCTTGCACTTTGGTGAAATCTCAAGATCATTTCAGCACAATCTCTATATAAATAAATATGAAATAGTGTTATTATTATCAGATAAAAAAAAGGGTAAGGTTACTATCAGTTAATTTGATGTAAGAATAGTACCTAATTTGATGTTCTTGATAGTGAGAATGTTTGGATAGAAGTGGGGTCCATGGTGGGGCCAAATGGAGAGTACATCTAGCAACATAAATAGCTGATGCACATAGCAATGATGGCTTGAAATGTAAAGCATCATATTCCACCAAAGATAGCTCGATCAGGAAGAATGCTAGGTTTTCAAACTGACAAAAAAAAAAAAATGGTTCTCAATTAAATCTATATTAAAACTATTTGGATGTAGAAATTGTGAAAATACCCACCTCTTTGCTTCCATGAGCAGCTCTAAGAAATCTCAGCATGAAAACATATGGGGTGGGCAAATTAAGACGAAAGTTGAGCTTATGTAAAATTGTTGTCTCCTGATAAATTAAAAAAAAAGAATGTAACAATCAGTGAAAATACAACTATATGGTTAAAAAAAAAATAGGTATACCATTTTGAGCATTTGATCTCTCGTGTATAACTCTGCTGAGATGCTAATTAATTCCATAACCTAGAAAAAATACAAACACACAATATAAATATAAAATAAAAACAAGAAATATGTAAATTAATTAATTCAATAGCAACATTTATTTACCTTTGGATGCCAAAAATCTTCATATTTGGATGCTAACAAGAGTGATGTGAGACCAACTAATTGCATTTCGTTTTTCTTAATATTAACAACCGACAAGTAATAGTCTAACAGTGTCACCATCAAATAAAGCGTCTCTTGCATCAAATCAAATTTCAAATGTACCTGTAATTGTAAAAAACCTAGTTGTGACTTGTGCTTTGAAAGAGGTACAAAAAGAATAAGGGAAATTATGTAGTTACTTCTATGAGCCAATTTATGAGAATCCCCCGCATTTGAGGCGTGATGTCTGTTTGGATCTCCATGTAATTCTTCAGTGACTGATGATGTGCCTGCATTCATAAGCAATTCAAAACATTGTCGGTTACTATGACTATGACTGTGACCGTTGACTCTCATATGCATAAAAGACGAAAATGCCCTCAAAAGATATGGTAAAACTCACTTCGGTAACCCAATAATGCTGATAAATCTCATCAACATATTCAGAAACTTCAAGTTGATTGCGATCATCATATATATTTGGCAAAATCTCCTCCTTGGTGACACTGGCAAGATCCTTTAGCATCTACAAGGGCAACGTATTTTTGTCACTCATGTTATAAAAATAAATATATTTTCAAGAAAATTTTATCAACCTTTGATCCTTCGATTAGCAAAGATGTGTATGATTTTCGACGTCTAGATTTCCCATTATTAGCAGTTGGATTTGATGTTTCCTCATTTTTCTTTAATAAAACACAACTTGCGGATGTTTCTTCCTTTTTCTTGGATAAAACAGAGGTTGAAGATATTGGTTTGGTAAAAACAGTGGTTCTTCTTGATACTTTAGGAATGCCAATTGTAGTTTTCACTGTTGGCTGAAATAACATAATAATGTGTTATGTATAAATGAAAATATATATATATATATATATATATATATATATATATATCAATTAATTATCTTAAAAAAAATGTTATTTGAAATACCTTCATTGACCTCCTAGATAATCTCTTCGTATTCCCTGTTGACCGATCTTCTGACACCCTATAAAATAATAATTTAAGATGAAATATATAGATTTTTTTATATATTAAAAAAAAAAAAAGATACTCACATATTTATAGATCCATCACTAACTCTATTCTTCAAACGGTGGTCCCTACCATTGCTTACTTGTGGTACAACTGTTGTCCCCACTTTAGGTTTAACTGAAAACTCAAGGAAAAAAAAGAGAGTTAAGAAGGTAAATCGCAAAGAATAGCAACATACTTTACTCTAGCTACCAAAATCGGCAATGTACTTTATCTTTTATGATTTTACCCTTCATAGCAATGTACTTACAATTATTACTCATAATTATTAATAACAACGCGCCTACATTTCCCTACCAATATGGATAATGTACTTTATTTGTTACACATTGCTATAATTGTTAAAAAAAATGCAAGTATGTTGCTAATATACTTGTAATGATGCTGTAATTGACTTTGAAATAAAAGTTAACTCACCAGAGAATCCAAATTTATCCTTGTTCTTTGCTTTATTTCCCAAGTTTCCCTACAAACAAAGGATAATAAGCATTCACAAGAAAAGTTTAACCTATATAAGTTACTAGACCAGAATAGCATCATACTTTCTTGATGTCACATGTATCTGTCTTCTCAACATGCTTTAGAACTGGAAAAGATTTCCTTTCAAAAGAAACATTTGAAAGCATTAATTAAAGGAATTTGGGGTATTAATGTAAAAGAACAAGAAGACACCATTAGAATAGAAACCTTTGTGGTGGGCGATAGTTCCTAGTAGATTCCCTGAATAAATTAATTAAAAGTAATGATTACTAACAATCACAATAGGATATGACAAGACAGGACAAAACAGGTGCAAAAGACGTAAATGCCCTCATACTGATTTTGAATGCAAATAAATGAACCAAAACAAAAAGCACATTGACGACAATTACCTTGTAACATAACCAACAGTTTCTTTACTTTGTAGCCTTGTTCCTGTATTACCATCAAAGACCTTTGAATCCTTGGTGCCAACTATGTTTTAGGTACAAAATAAAACCTAAGATGCTAATCAATAATAAGATCAAATATTAACTTATATACTAAATGTTACCTCTACCCTGTGTAACACGACCTTCAACAGCTTCACTCTGGCTTCCAACACGTGTTCCCTATAAGAAATCAGATTTGATACTTGATATTAAAAAGAAAAACAAACAAAGATAAACATCTAAACATAACCACTAAATGAATACCATTGAAAGTTTGCCTGATAAAGAACTCGCATTCCTTGATTTTGTAGCAATTGAAGCCCTACAAATTCACATCATACAGTAAGATAAACACAAACAGATGCTTATGACCAGATTAAATAGTGTATTATAGAAAACTAGAGTAACAAAAAAAGTAAAAAGAATAATAGCAATGTTGGTGTGCATACCGTTGAGAATATGCTACCTTTTCCATTTTAACTTTTCTGCAATGTTTTAGACCAAGTTAATTTGTTAAAGTTAAAAACAAGGAAAACTATAGATCTTGAGACCAAAGTCACTCACCCAGATTTGGAGCCATTAAAAGCTTCATTCTTTTGAAGATTACCCAGAGAATTGCTGATATCTCCCAGCACTTTTCTTGCTACTTTACCTTGAGCTGTGATATGAAGCATAAATTTGTTAAAAAGTTGTACAAACAAGAAAACTTGTTTTATTGAAAGTTAAGTTGCATAATGCTTACTAGAGTTGATGTTTTTTCCATGAATCTTGTCCAATTTGTTGAGAGCGCCCTTCATGATTATTACATAAAAACATAGGATTAGCATTTTTCAAATAATGTATGCTTTTTTGCATTAAGAATTTAAGATAAACCCTTCATGTGGTGTTAACTGTTAACCTTTAGACAAGTGGCTTGAATTTGACTGGTTTCGGCTTTGACTGGCATAGACTTCCTTCTAAAAAAGAACAAGGTTGGATATCAGAAACCACTATAAGAGAATCAAAATGGCTAATATATTTAAGAAGAAACAAGTTCCCACTAGCACATTCTTTTTGTGGGTTGTGGAAAGATGAAGAGGCTGAGGTGCTGTTTTTTTCACTTAATGGTTACATGTCTTAATCTGGTAAGCTATGTACGGGTATTTCTTTCTGAATAAATGCAGAAAGAATAAGCTTAACAGAGAATGTTGGTGAAAGGAAGCTTTCCCCATTAAGTCCTAAATTATCACAAATTTTGATCTCCTTTATTTTTTCTTCCATTTCCCCAAGTATTCTGTCATTTCTCACATAATTTTTAAAACATTATTTATCCAAAGTTCCAAACAACACTTAATCAAAACATATCTAAATTTTCTACAGCTTTGGTCCCTTTTCCCATTTTATCTTTTCAAACGGTCAGCAAGTTCTCTAATACTCCCCTCATTAGTCATTATCCTCGTTGAAAAACTAATCAAAGTATTGAATACATTGTCTTTAATCAGCCTCTTAAAAAAACCCTTTTGGTCTCATCTTTACTTCTTTAGATCATTTGATTTGATTAAGGAGCCTAGTCTTCTTTCCTCCCATCATAGGCAACATTTAGACATTTGTCCCTCCAGTGACTTAGTGTTTTGGACATGCTAACCAGTCACTCTCCTCCTTTTAGATATCTTATCAACTAACTACAGCTTTTCTGACTCTAAATTGTAGCTACACAAACTAATCACATTGTCTTGACAGTTGGATTAGCTTCCTTAACCTAGCACATTTCTCATCAACATTTAGGCTCAACATAGCATGCAGTTAAAAGATCCCATTAGTTCCTAGAAATATGTATTTGTTCAGAGAAAACTCTACATGATTCTAGTTCCTTGGAGATCAAAGTACAGAATACAGCCAAAAAAAGAGGTAGATCGGCAATCAATAGTAAAACTCTACAAGTAAAGGCAATATTGAATCAAAACTTACGTAGTTTCAGCAGCAACATAATCCCGACTATGAACCTTA